TGTGTGTGTGTGTGTGTGTGTGTGTGTAACCAAGGCATGCATCAATGTAGCCAAATCAGGCATCTCCAATGCAGCTGGTGCACCAGCTTTAGCTGTGCAAATGCACTCCTCCGGGCCACCACCGAGACCTGAGAATCCAGGCTCAGGGATGAGTCCAGAATGACACCCAAGCTGTGCACCTGAGTTGTCAAGAGGAGTGTAACCTCATCCAGTGCAGGTTGAATCCCTATTTCCTGATGGACTTTCGGTTGACCACGAGCAACTCTCTCATCTGGATTAAGTTTCAATCTGTTTGCCCTCATTCAGTCCACTACTGACACTGGTTTAGAACAGGAACAGCTTCCTTGGAGCTAGGAAGAGATAGAGTTGGGTGTCATACTGGTAACACCGAACTCCAAAACTCCAAACAACTCCTCCCAATGATTTCATGTACATGTTAAATAGCATGAGGGATAAAACAGACCCCTGAGGATCACCACAGGCCAGTGGCCAGGGCATTGAACATGAGCTCCCCAGCAATTCTTCTTTCCAGGAAGGACCAGACTCACTGTACAACTGTGCCTCCAGAGACATGGGCCAGAAAGATACCATGAATGATGGTTTCAAAAGCTGCTGAGATACATTCCCCCACCCAGTTCCCAGTTTAGGTCATCCACCAAGTGACCAAAGCTGTCTCTGTCCCATGTCTAAGTCTGAAGCCAGATTCAAATGGATCTAGACAACCCACTGCATCCAGAAACCCTTAGAGCTGAGAAACTGTTTGTTTTCTTTCCCCCTTGGCTCTGGAAATTAGGAATGAAAGGAATTTTTTTGTATGAAAACTGCATTCTCTTATTGCCTCTCTCCACCACTATCTTCTTACATCACTTCCAACACAGATGATGGGTCCAAAGAGACGAAATTAGATTTAGGGGATGTGACCCTAACGGCCAATTCACCCTCACCTTTGGGCCCTGTGTGGAAGAGAAGCAAAAAACCTTCTGTGCTGCCACATGTCAGCTGAGGGCTTGCCCTTGCTTAATGCGCTTTGCTAGCAGGGTTCTATGGCGTTGGGGCATAGAGGTGCCTATGTAACACAGGTACCTGGATTCATCTGTCTCTATTTGTGTTCAAGAAAAATTGGAAAAAACAAGGTTTTCAGCAGGAATCACACAGCCGATAGATTATGCTCTGTACCAGACTAAAAGTCTAAAAATCAAGAATGCGCACAAAACTTTAGCTTGTAGCAGAGATATTTTAATTTAGCTCACAAGTAATTATTACTATGCCAGCTCTAGAACCAAACCAGCAGACTATTCTTGATAAAGTAAGGTGAAGGTGAGTGGGTGATTTGCCAGATAAGTGGAGAAGATGCTGAGGAAATGATTGAGATGGTCTTTGGATACCAAAGCACAATGGGGAAAACTTCAAGTTTCAACAGTTCCAGGGAGTGAAACACACTCTGAGTAGTCAACGGAACTCAAGGAGAGATGATTACTTTATCCCTGGAAATGTGAGGTTAGCTTCACTTGGGATGCTGTCATGGAGAATTGACAGCATCCCTAGTGAAGGCTGGAAACCGAGAGCAAAGTAATAGAGCATCTGCTCAAGTGGAGATCCTGTGAAGGACACTCCTCAATATAGGCATAAAGCACAAAGGATGCAAGGACACCCAGCATATGTGGGATGGGGTAGGACCAAACAGGTTCAATAGCCTGGCTTTAAAAAGACTAAATTTAGTAAAACATACTAGACCAAATGCTAGGGTGATGCGAACAATATGCACAGGTATAAGCTGCCATGGCTGAACTTTATAGTAATGAGTAAAGGAGATAGTCATTTTCTTTGTTTTTTTTTTCAAACTATAAACACAGTTTCCCCTGCAAACTAAAGTACAGATCCACTCAGTCTGAACAGAAAATACCAACTTTAGTACATTGGTCCCCTGCTTGACGAGGAAATTGCTTAATGATGAAGTTTTTGCGATCACTTTTGTGATCGCAAAACAATGTTTTAATAGGGAAAAATCGCTTCACGATGATCGGTTCCCTGCTTCGGGAACCCATTTTTTGCTTTACGACGATCAAAACAACTAATCATCGGGGTTCCAAAATGGCCACCCACTGTGCAAAATGGCTCCCTGCTGTGCTTTAGGATGGATTCCTCACTTAACAGGCACCGGAAAATGGCCGCCCTATGGAGGATCTTCACTGGACGCTGAGGTATTTCGCCCATTGGAACACATTGAATCAGTTTTCAATGCATTTCAATGGGATTTGTACTTTCACTTGATGACAATTTCGTTCTACAGCGATTTTGCTGGAACAGATTATCCTCGTCAAGCGAGGCACCACTTTATTATAAACAAGAGTTCGGTTTAACTCACCCAGAAACATGCAGGGAAAGACTTTTCCAACAGTAATGCACACAGACAAATCAGAAACAAGATACGTAGTAACTGTTCTTTTTCTATCTATTAAAAAAGAGAACTTAACCAAGCAACAACTAACACAAAAGTTTAATTTTGCACATACATTAAATATTAAATATGCTAATAATGAGACAAGATAACACTTTACATCTTAATGTGCACGCCTTCAGCCCCTCTCAGCCGTTCCTGATATTTTATGCTTTTATTATCAGCAACTCACTGGTAGGAAGAAAAATACTCCTCCTTGTCTGTATGTACTCCCACTGCAATCCTTTTTGGCCGCTGGGAGAACTAAAGTGATTGAGAAGCTGATAGCTGTGTTGAACCTGAAGAGGATGAAAAGTCTGAGGAAGTCCTGCTTAGGCTGCCAGGCAGGATCTGTGCCTGGGAAAAAAGGGGAAATTATTTTCTAATTTCCTCTTTCAAAGTTTCTGGATTAGAATGCAAACTGGTCTCTGATGCACTGGGCAGAAACAGATACAGATGGCCCATGTTCTCTGTGAAGAAAACTTATATTTCAGGGCTGATTTCTGTGAGTGTCTCAAGAGGAGTTTTTCTCACCTCCCACAGTCTAGGAAAAAAGAAAAAAACTCTCTTTGCTCTGCGCTTGATTGGTCGTACTTAAGCACAGATTCCTTTGAAGTCTGATTTCACAAATACAAAAGGCTATCACATCTCTGCAGTGCTAACGTGCTTTCAGCAGTAAAGGTGGGCTGTCTATATCATCTGTTTTTCCCCTGTACACATCCAGTTTCTAGATCATCCACAAGTACTGTGGTATTGGATCTTTATCTTTTGGAAGCAGAGAAAGTATTTTAGCTTAGCCTTATGGATGGCTTTGAATTACTACAAAACATATTGCTGTTTTGAAAAAAATACATCCTAAAAATAGAATTACTAATTTTTCTAAATATGAACAAACCTGGTCTAATCAGGGGAAAAATAGAGGAAAATAACTCAATAGCACACACATATCACTCACAAACATATGGGGTTATCAGCAGAAGAGAATACACCAGATTTCTAATGAGAAGTGGGTTCTATTCTATGGAATGCAGTAAGGAGACCATCACTCTTTAGCAGGCCATGGCCATGTTTTCTGAATATTTTAAAATGTACCTGTTTCTCTTCCTATCTGGCGTGTTCCAAGATTGATGACAGGAGTACCAAATGCCCCCACTTCTCGCACACCACAGCTGCTGTTCCCAATCATACAACCCGCATGAGCCACTAACTGGATGAACTGGTCAAATGGAACGTGCTTTACTGCTCGGAAATTAGGGTGGTGTTCGACGCCTTTCTTCCTCATCACCCGAACCATTTCTTTGCTACCTGTGGTAAAAGAAGCAACAGATCACTGAAGAGTAATTCACAGAATGTTGATATTGTAACTGTTACTTCAGGCAGCAGCATCTCAACACATGAAGAGTGGATTTGCTGTTTACAAAGCTTTGCCACAGCTGTGCATGGTGGCTCTCTCTCACTTCTGTGGGTTAGCCATGGACAGAGGGGGAAAACACCACCTCCCCACTGAATTCAACTGATGCTATTTTTGACTATCAGCCATGTTGCGTTTCAGAATGTCTCCACAGCTGAAGTGAAACAATCCAGCAGGCACAATGATCTATCTCACAGATGTAGGCTGAACAAAACGATTTAACTACAGGCTCTTACAACACTTACGTTATCAATGTTAACACCACAATCGAAGAACAAATACACATTAGGCATATTGATTGGTTTCCTTTTGAGAGTAAAACCATAATTAACATTGCCCTAGATAAAACAAATTAATTTTTTTTAAATACTCAGTATTCGTAGATCATAACAAATGCCTTTGATTTTAAAAAGCCAAGATTAGAACCTGGAGATTGAATTGGAGGATGATATACAACTGCAGGTATTAATTACGTACGATACAAAGATAGGGCTGGTAAGGAGCTGCAGTGATGCTATCCCAAGATTTCAACTTCTATCTGTCTCACTCACCTGCATCAATATTTGGGAATAAAACCAATGTCCTCTTGTTAAAAGAGATGAGGGCATCCAAAGTCAATTCAAACATCTTTATGGAATGTTTAATATCTGTAGTCACCGGGTGCTGTAATGCAACTATATAATCCTTGGGCTTTACATCCTCACCTGTGAAATCAAATTAAAAATAAACGCATCTTAAATTAAACATTAGAATAATTCTTGGGTTGGAGAAGTAATAACCCTGAAAATATTTCATTCAGAGAAATCTCAAGGTTCATTATATCACGAAATTAGAGAATTTCCACTCCTGAGTCATTGATCATGTAGCCCCATCCTGCATTATTATCCAACACAAAGGAGAGATCTAATTAAATTTTAACAGTGTGTTTAATGAGGCCACTGATTTTTTAGTACATACATTTACTGTATCTCTTTAGATTCCTGACAACATCCCCCTAAAATAAACAGCTTTTATTTTTAAAGACCGACAGACACTTGATTTTTCTGTTTATACACTTTACAATGATGGGATGAAAAGGAGGGGGAGGTTTTCCTTAGTTTATCCTTAAGAAATGAAAATGAAATACTACTGAGCAGTTTGATGCTGCAAATACATGAGTAGATTTAAAACATAAAGACTTTTTCTCACATATCAAAGAAATAAATTGTTTCATTTTGAGGATTGCAATAAACTAGAAGTCTCTCTGAAATATCTGCTGTTGCATTTTTATTGCACACAAAAAAAGTGCATGGCTCTATGTTCCTTGTACTGAATGTAAAATTTTACAATATTCCATGAAAATTAGATAGCTTTTGCTCCTCAGTGTCTACTTATCTTGTCTGCACTGAAGAATAGCACCAATTTCTATTCTAAACCACGGCTGCACAAAATATAGCTCACCAAGCTATAAACAAAGTGTAGCCTGCTTGCCAATACGGCGGTCGCATCAGGTACCAAATACAGTAAAAACTTTTTGCTGTGTGTCTGGCACAGGGGAAAAAAAGGATTATCAAGCAACTGCAGGATGTCATATAAAGATACTGGACAATACTCAGCTTCACAGGTCGCAAGCTGTGCTACTTACATCTATACAGCACACTTACCTAACCACATACGGATAACACTCATGTAGTCCTTATTTTTGGCAGATAATAACTTATCATATGAAGGACAGCCTGCCAGGAGAATGCGGTCATGGTCTTCACACATAGATATTAAATGCTGCTCTGCGCTTCTTGTACAACAGACATGGTAATGAGCCAGCTTGGTTATGGCATGCCTGATGGAGTCATCTATGGTCCCACTAACTTCGCCTCCTTCAATGTGAAGAATTCGAATGTTCATTAAGGCCGCAGATGTAGCCAGTGCTAGAGCATCAAACCTGTCCCCATGGACTATCATTATGTCCGGCTTCAGGCGATTTAGGACATCTGGCAGCTTGACCAACGCAAGGCCTACTGACTCTACCATGGCTGCCTCATCTTCTCCTCTCACTATCGTGTGTAATCTAGTATGAATGTCAAAGTCGTCTTGCTCAATCATACGGTATGTGTTACTAGAAAAAAGAAAGGGAAACATTTTTAGATAGTAATACCACAACCTTCATATAATTGTGATGGATCCAGACAATCACTCTTACAACAGATCAACTGAAACTAACGGGACTTTTGTTATTTATAAGTAATCAAAAGTAATTTTTTTCTCTCTATGAGACTAAATAATTATTTTTATGCCTGACCATTGATTTTTCCTCTTCATACTGTTCCCGGATTCCCTATAGCTTAGGTGTTTTGAACCTACCGTTTCCATAAGTTTGCGATTAACATCTCTCCCATGTATTACAAAATATGGATTGAGTTACTTATTTTTAGCATGAGATTCCTCAACCACCATTATTAATGTAGTATACTCATGCACACATCCACACACACATTTAATGTGCATGTTTGAAAACATCTGTATACATAGTTAAATTAATGCAACATCCTTTTATAAAAAATATTGGGGAAAGAAGGTGCCTCTCAGATGTGCTTAAACTTCTAGGGCTTATTTTAGAACTGAATCTTTTGAAATAGGAGCAATAAATAGTGTCATTTCCAGAGTAAAGGGGGCATTTAATAACACAGCAGCCACTGCCTTGACAAAAGCACAAGCAGGAATCTAACTAATGCTGAAAACAGGTAAATTTGTCTGGTGCTTGATGACCAGATTCTCCCAAAACTTTTTTTTCCTCCATGTCATTTCACTGGATACATTAAATCACAGGAAATAATGAATGCTTCCCTGTGAGATAGTATATAAAATATCAAACAAGTTGTTCTCAGATGATCAGCTTTGCCAAAAGGATTCTGGCCAAGTGGCCAGTGGCCACCATTTTACTTCACTGGTACAGAGCTGAACCGTTCTCTATTACTGACTATATTTCACAACACAGAAATGAAAACAAAAATGTGTCCAAATGAAACCATGATGAGGTGCAACAAAAGCAAGACTAAACATCTAGTTTTGCTGGTGATAACAGGATGTAAACAAAAGGGAGAGATATAACATAGGGTAGAATTCAAAATATAACAGGAAAATTTAGTATTTTTCCAATTTTAAAAATGAAGTAATGCACATTTATTTCCTCTGTATAAATCATACTATTTTCTTCTTCTTTTAACCCAAAGTGCCAACCAAAAAGACTGAAAGCTAGCAAAGCACTCTCTATTTCTGTCTTTCCAATTAAGTGAAACATATCCATTTGTACTCCATATTTAGCCAAATTACTCCTCCCCCCGACATCCTGCCAAATTAAAAGTCACTGCCAGGAAATACTCCTAAACCTTGTTATTTGTCAGTATTTGCTACTATTCCTTTACAGCATGGACGAGCAAAGAGTAGCCAAGTGCTGGACTTCAATTTCCATTGTTATTCACCAATGTCTATAGCTGAAGAAGCTGCTGTCCAGCAACATCTGGATGGCTACACGTCACCTACCCTGCCTTAGAGTGACAATGTTTTTCCTGACCAACTCACACATGTTTCTACTGTGTTGGTATTATTTTCTCAGCTGTACATCATGGTCATCAGATACATGGATGGGAAAACTCTATGTACTCTATGTACACTATGTCGACATTACCAAGGAAGCCTAAGAGGCTACTATACAGTGGTGCCTCGCTTACCGATCGCTCCGTTGAGTGACGAAATCGCTTTGCGACGCTGCTTTTGCGATCGCAAAAGCGATCGCTTTGCAATGTTTCCTATGGGGAAAAATCGCATTGCGATGATCGCGGGGAAGTGATCATCGCAAAGCCCCCGTTTTCGGCCAGCTGATCGGCGGTTCCAAAATGGCCGCCGGGGAAAAAAATGGCGACCGCTGTTTTGCCTCGCTTTAGAGGCACCCAAAATGGCCGCCACAATGGAGGATCTTCACAGATGGTCAGTTTTTAAGCCCATAGGAACACATTAAACACGTTTTAATGCATTTCTATGGGCTTTTAAATTTCCCTTAGCGACGAAATCCCATAGCAACGTTTTTCCTGGAACGGATTAACGTTGCTAAGCGAGGCACCACTGTATAAAGAAATAAAACTGCATTCTATGCAAATTAAGGGACTGCTATGCTGCAGAGAACAAAAACAGTGGCTCCTTAACTACCAACAGCTCACCACTGAGATTTATGCCACTGCAGTTATGCTGGCATTATGTACGTAATAAGGATTCTGGACTCCACCAAGGGAGTTGTATCATCAACAGCTCCAAGCAGTGCTGTTTGTTCTGGACTGATCAATCTGGAATACAGAATTACGGTATTTGAGGATGCCTTCCTCTAACTTCTTTACCATTCCAATTTACGGATGTCGGAAGAAACAACTTGATAGAACTTACCCATAATCATCAATCAGGTGGGATCCCAGAACCACAACATCAAGCTCAAAGAACTGTGGTTCTGCTTTAATACCAAACATGATCGGAGCCAATTTGGAATAATCAGCTCGGTTGCAAGTAGCAACACAAACGCGGAGTTTTCGGTTGTTCCCATTTTTCTCCATTACTTGCTTTTGTTTCTGTTTAGAAAGGTTCTTGAAATAAAGTTCCTGAAACAATAACATGTGTATGTATCTTTTACAATTGAATACATATAATTGTACAGGCATGAATATATGCAGTGATTACACAAGCAATAGCACACTGGGAGGCAGTGTGGTATACTGTATACTGAAAAGAGTACAGGACTTCTGAACTCTGCTGAAGAACAATAGGCAATAGTGATGACGGACAGGTATTTTGCAGAGCATCATATCCAAGTCAAATAAATTGGGTTTCTCCATGAATGGACAACTGTCTGTCATAATATATCACTTCCTGGGAGTTGGACAGCTTCCTGGGAGAGGTAGTTCTTTGGGGGGAGCCCTCTATGGAGCCCAACAGGCAGCAAGATTATCCTCCAAGAAAGCTGTGCAACTTTCAGGATGCACCAAGGAAGTTTTCTTATTTTGGTGAACCAGGCTGCGAGCAGAAAGACATCACTGTGCCGTCCTCCAGTACATCTGCACTTGACGAAGACCGCGGTTGTATAGAAGGGGTGCTAGTGGAGACAGAACGAGAGGAGAAAGCAGAGGGGAAGGTGACGGAGGTTTGCTTGGCTGATGATAAGGGGGCGGAGCAGGATTTGATTGCTTGGGAGGAGGTCTTAAATGTGGGGGAAAACGTGCGAGCTTTTTGGATAACGGACAGAGCAGCCGAGGAAAGGAAGGATAAGGCAGTACAGACAGACCGAGATGGTGAACATGGAGAGACATAGCTGGACTGCTAAAGGAGTTCCCTAATCTCCGCACTGGAGGGGGTCTGCTACCAGATCCCGTGGGAGATAATGCAGCGAAAGGGGAACTTGAGCCATTAGAATGGACAGTGATCATGTACTGATGCAACCAGCGTGGGGAACGGAGGGTGATTCGTTCCAGTCCCTCTTTACTTCAGCAGCCGCGCGAGGGGGACTGGGCGAAGCATCCCTGTTGTGGGACGATCTGCGCGGTTCGGACCACCCCTTTGAGGCCGATGACGGATCGCGAGCGGTTTGGGCCATCCGCAATGTGAGAAGCGACTGGACGACACCAGAAACAAGAGTTCGAAGTTATAAGGTTCTTCCAGAGTTAAGTTTAATAGACCCATTTGAAGCTGTTATGACGGATCGCAAGCAGTTTGGGCCAGCCCCAATGTGAGAAGCGACTGGACAATGCCAGAAATAAGAGTTCGAAGTTATAAGGTTCTTCCAGAGTTACGTTTAATAGACCCATTTGAAGCTGTTGAACAAGAAATGCTGAATAATAAAAAGGAATCTGTTAGAGTTTTAAGTCAGCCTCCGTCCCTCATTTCCACGCCTACCGGGGGGATGCCCATGGCGGGAGAAGGACTCGTTCACACAGGCTAAAGGAGGCACCCATGTGGGTAAGAAATGCTGGTCTGCAGACTTAGGTTTTTGGACTGCATCTCCCAGAATTCTGCCTGGGCAATTCCTTAAGAATTCTGGGAGTTAGAGTTCAAAAATCCAAAAGTTATTATCCTTGTTTACATTCATAACCCATATTTTTACTACTAGGTGGTTTTCAAGGTGGTTTACAATGTACCTTAGTCAGCAAGAGGGCTGGCTATGAAAAAACAGCAGTGGTGGGCTGTGGGAGGGTAATCTCATTGTACCTTGTTGTTTATAATGATGCCAATCTTAGGACACTTCAGTTATGGATCAAAATAGGTATGAGATAGGTGGAAAGGATGCCTGAGTTCAGGAAGTGATTCCTCAGCCACAAAAAGCTTTAGAAAAATACCTGTGTAACTTTCAAAAAATCAACCTTTTTTCATTAAAATATATCATTCTATTGAGGATGTCCCTGGGTGGGGTGAGAGGAACCATATCTGAGTGTCAGAGGTATTCACCAGTTTCCACCAAAAGATTCTGTGCACATTCCAGAGACATCTTACACATCTGAAATATCACTGTTCTTGAAGTAGGACGTTATTATAAAAACATGACCAAGACTAACTTATAACTGAAAAGTTTGGCCTTGACCCTTGATTTAACCTGGCAAGAGGAACACAGTATTCTTACCAATTTCATATTGATTCTCTAGGTTGACCCTCTATCTCCTATATGCACAAATGGCATATTTATCTTTTTTATGAACTAGGATAAAAATGTATCATAAGACCAGTGGGAAATCCTCAGGTGCATTTAGAACATTATCTGGGCAGTGGGGGTGGGGGTGGGAGACCACAGCATTCTTTCTCACTTATGTCTTTGAGTTATTTCATATGAATTTTATGTTTTGAAACCACATAGCTATTTTGTTTGGCCTTTCCTTAAATACAAGTTGACTACCATGGCTTCAATACAGCCTGTTCCTTTCTCAAGTTTAAACATGCTGCTATTTCCCAAAAATCCCCCCAAAAGAATTAGAATAGTAACACAGTAATTCCCAACTGGATTACACTCTGTGCATGGTTCTCATTTAACAGTAGCAAAAACAGGATTTCCTTTAAAATTCTGCATAAATCAGAAGGTGCTCTCAGTATGGGATACCATCCCAGATATCATAAGGTCTCTCTCCAGTCTCCAAAAATTTCAGTTAACTACATTTTAAGTCAAAGATAACCCCCTAATTAACCTATACCCTTCTACACTCATTAATCATTTTCAATTTAAACTGTTTTTTTTTTGGTAAAAGGAGTTTCAAATCTGACATCTTCTATCTTCTATGCTTTGCTACGTTGGAAGGCATCCACACAACTTTAACTGACCAATAAGCATTCTTCTAGAGCAGTGATAAAGCTTTTTGAGCCTGAGCGCCCAAACAACACAAAACCGAGGCCTGAGCGCCCAAACTACAACACAAAACCGACTTGTTTATTTCAAAGTGCCAAACTGCAATTAAATCTGAATACCTGTATGAGTTTTTAGTTTACAAAAAACAACTGCTCCTGCACAGGAATGTTTAAATGCTTGGTTTTTCCCCGCTAGGGGTGGTATGAACAGAGAAATACTTAGCAGTCCTCCAATTCCCCATCGGGTTAGACCGGTAATTGCTGCCATTGCATCCCTCCACTGGACCACTGCACCAACAGAGGGGAGTGCCAAAATCCGGGATCGGAGGATGGGTAGGTATTTCTCAATAGTGACTTATGACTCACATGCCCACAGAGAGGGCTCTGTGTGACAGCTGTGGCACATGTGCCATAAGTTCGCCATCACCGTTCTAGAGCATTTCACTGAATACATGCATAAATGCGTTTCAAGAAGCAAAAAACTTAATAGGGCAGAACGTTTTGCTGCCCATTCAATGACAGGCATCCATGGTAGATAATTTTCTCCTTCATATTAACACACTTCTGCTTTTTTTTCAAGTCTCCTCCACTAAAATAAAAAAATAATCAAATTCCAAAACAGATGGATTAACTGCCCCATATTTACGATGTGAACTGCTTGTACTAGACATCATGTCATACAGTAGCCATAAAATTATTTTCCCCTGAAAGGAGATGAAAACAGTTACACAAGAGACTACAAAAATCTGGAAAATAATTTCTTTTCCAATTTAAGCAAGCCACTGAGCTAATCTAGTTACACAACTAATGTACTCACTTTTTTTAAAACGAAAAACACACTGAAACTCAAGAGAAGCTTTCTTCAGGTTTGTTCACAACACATTTCCCATTTGTCATGGGCTACCAGTACCTATGAATTACCGTCAATTTATTTGGAGCAAAGTCCTTTTCCACAAAGCAAATTTAAAAAGCAAGAGAAAATTTAACACCCAATAAAATAGCCTTCTATTAACACTTAAAGCTATGAAAGCAAATATTATTTTGGAAACATTTTCAGTCATATTCTTTCCCTTCAGTAGAAAGGCATCTTACCTTTTTCTTCCTTGTACACCACAGTAAAAGATTAAATATTAGCTCTTACTGATACTTGCGTAAGATTCACTTCACCTTCCCTTCCACAACACTGATCAATGAGTCATATTTAACCCATAAATCAACTCATCAACTAAGTTTCATAGTTTCTCAGCTGAAACAAACATGCAAAACAATAAAACAGAAACGAAACACCACCTTCTAAAAAGAATTGTATGAGAGTGGAAAGTTAGGTCAGATTGGAACAGCAAAGGATTACAAAACTGGAACCGCAACTTCAGATAGCAAGGAATCTAAGTCTCTACAAAACTGAGAAGCAATAGCTTGACAATGAAGTGGAGTGTGAAAACAAGATGCCTTTCTGTAATTTGATTACTGGCGCTCCCTTCCAGCCTCCGCGGTCTTTTCATTTCTCCCTCAAATTTCAGTTCTCCTTCTTTCTTCCTGGGCACCTCCCTCCAACCTCAGCGCTTCTCTTCCTCACCACCTTTGTATTGCTGTTGCACTTGGTGATGTAAACACACCAACTCTGGTCACAGTGGTTCTAAAAGTGATTTCTACATTTAGGGTTTAGCTAATAAGGGACGTGGTGGTGCTGCGGGTTAAAACGCAGAAGCCTCTGTGCTGCAAGGTCAGAAGACCTGCAGTGGTAAGATCGAATCCACGGGTCGGAGTGAGCCCCTGTCGCTTGTGCCAGCTCCCGCCAATCTAACTGTTTGAAAGTATCCAAAATGCGAGTAGATAAACAGGTACCACCACGGTGGGAAGATAATGTCGTTCCGTGTCTAGTCACGCTGGCCACGTGACTACGATAGTCTACGGACAAACGCTAGCTCTATGGGTTGGAAACGGAGATGAGCACCGCCCCCTAGAGTTGGACACAACTGGACAGATTGTCATGGGGAACCTTTACCTTTAATATTGAAATGGTTGTAAAAACAGGAAATTGTATAGTGAACCACTGTTGTATCAGAAATGTCCTGCATTATTGTTGCATGTCAGAAATTAGTAATGTCAGAATGGTTGCCAGACACTACGGCACCAGACCTAATTTACACAACTGTTGTGCTGATAATGGGAGAGCTGGGAAAGACAGCCATGTGTGTTCCTTTGTTTTCGCTGGAAGAAAAGCAGGATATAAATGGAGCGAAGGAAGGAAGGAGGGACTTGAAGATGTTAAGACATA